CGGTGTGGCTGCATCGCAGGGAACCCGGGCTGGAGGTTCGGGAAGGCAGGAAGGAGGTTCGGCAGGGGCTGGAGGGGTGCCGAGCCAAGCAGCAGCAGAAGGGGCGGCAGCAGGGGCGGATACAGGTGTGGATAGGGGCGAAGCAGGAGGGGCAGGTGGCACGGATACTGCCATGGGGGATGCTGGTGGGGAGGGAGGGAGAGTAACGGCTGCTGGAGGCAGAGAGGCAGGAACAGACGCCCCGAGCGAAAGGGTGCAAGGGGAGGATCGAGAGGGGAGGCAGGAGGGGAGCCAGGATGGAGGAGAGGAGGCGGGAGCAGCAGGGGCGGGAGGGAGAAGGGCGATGGAGCAGGACGAGAGGCATGGGGGGGAGGAGGAGGAGGAGGGAGGGGGCATGGCGCATGAGGCAGAGGCGATCATGAGGAGGGTGGAGGGCGGGGGGGGCATGAGAGGGCCCATGCAGATTAGGTTTCAGATCAGAGATTTTGATGGGATGGGGGAGGATGGGGAGGATGGGGAGGAGGATGAGGATGGGGATATGGAGGGAGAGGAGGACGGCGAGGAGGATGAGGATGAGGATGAGGATGAGGAGGAGGACGGGGAGGAGGATGAGGAGGAGGAGGAGGGGATGGAGGAGGGGATGGAGGAGGAGGACGAGGATATAGAGGAGGAAGAGGAAGACGAGGAGGATGATGAGGAGGAGGATGAGGACGAGGAGCATGGGCATGGGCTTGGAGGGGAGGACAACGGGCATCTGCCCCCAGACGTGCTGGGGGATGACTTGGACGAGCACGAGGCGGCAGCAGCACGCGCCATGCGGCATGACTTGGAGCGTGAGTTGGCCGAGGAAGAGGAGGAGGAGGACGAGGAGGGGGATGAGGATGACGACATGGACGAGGACGAGGAGGACCCAGACGACGAGGACCTAGAGGACTGGGAGGACGGGGCGCGGTTCATCGAGGTGAGGTGGCGTGACGACGTTACAGGAGCCAACCATGTGCACTTGCTCACAGGGGGGGCTGATGTGGCTGGGCTAATGGACCTGCCAGGGTTTATGCAGAGGGATGTGTTGAGCGACCCCCTGTATGCCGACATGAATGAGCCGGTGTGGGGGTGGGGCCGGCACCTGGCAAGTCACCAGCGCAGAGCGGCAGTGAGAAGCACGCTGCAGAGCCAGCAGCAGCTGTTGCAGCAGCAGGGGCAGGGGCAGGGGCAGGGGCAACTAGCGCGGACAGGCGCGGGCCCGCTGCACATGCACCCTCTCTTGGCCCGCCCATTCGCCCCTGGTGCGGCACCAGACCCAGCGTCTGCTTCCGCATCCGCGTCTGCTCATGCAGCGGCGGCGCCTGGGTCGCACCTGTTAAACCTGCTGGCAGGGATGCGGGGCATGGTGGGGGGCGCAGGGGGGCCAGGCGGCGGGATGGAGCTAGACGCGGCTTTTGCCAGGGAGGTGGCGTCGCTCATGATGGCATATGAGAACCCGCTTCTGGAGGACATGCTGCAAGCCAGGGGGCTGCTAGATCCCAGAGCCATGGGCGGCTTGGGAATGGGCGGCATGGGTGGCATGGGGGTGGGGCATCCGTCAGCAGTGGAGTTTGACCCAGGGAGAGCGAGGGCGATGGGGGTGAGTGGGCTGGGCCCCGTGGTGGGGGGCGCGGCGGGGCGAGGGGAGTTTGGACGGGCGAATCGGTGGACGGATGATGGGTTACCGCAGCCGGCAGGCACGGGCGCTGCTGTTGCCCAGGCGCTGGAGAGTGCCTTCCTGCGGTCCATGCAGGGGGGGCGAGACGCAGGGCGAGGGGGCGGGAGAGAGGGAGGAGAAACAGGGGCGCGGGGAGGTGGAAGTGGGGGGCGGAATGGGGAGAGGCAGCAGGGGAGGGCGGTAGGAGGAGGAGGAGGGGAACAACAGCGACAGGGGGAGAGGCAGGAGCAGCAGCAGATGGAGCAGCAGGGGGAGCTGGAGAGGGAGGCGAGGCAGGAAGGCAGTGGAGGGGCCACAGGGGCAGGAGGGAGTGGGGGAGGTGCAGGTGCAGCAGAGGGTGGGGCGGGAGGAGCAGCAGGAGAAGCCGCAGCAACTGCAGGAGCAGAAGCAGCAGGAGCAGCAGGAGCAGGAGAAGCAACAGGAGAGCAGGCAGGTGCAGACAGCGTTCAAATTGGCACTGGGGCAGAAGCACAAGCACACGTGGAAACAGAAATAGAAGCAGAAGCCACAGAGGCCGAAGCAGGTCGGGATGGACGGGGGGAGGGGGGAGAAGAGGGCCGGGCAGCAGGAGATGTGCAGATGGGCGAGAGAGGGAGTGAGAGGGAGAGGGAGGTGGAAGCAGAAGTGGAAGTGGCGAGTCAGGGCAGCGGGGGAAGTGGGTTCACGGCAGGTGAGAGCCTGCGGAGTCTCGAGGTTGAGGTAGGTAGCATCGACGGCCATGATGACATGCTGCTGCTCGGTGCCACTGCTGGTGCTGCTCCTGCTGCAGCCGCCGCCTCCGCCGCTGCTGCTGCTACAGCTGTGGCTGTTCCTGCAGCTGTAGCGGCTACAGCAGCTGCTCCAACTGTGCCGGGCTTAGATGGAGAGGTGGCGCCGGCTGCAGCAGCTGGTGCAGAACAGGAGGGCACAGCACCACAAGTACCAGCAGTTGAAGCAGCAGTAACAGCTGAAGTTACGGGAGGAGGTGCAGCATTAGATGCAGTGGAGATGACAGGCATGGAAGTGGGAGGGGCTCGGGAGGAGCAGGTCACAGCTGGTGAGGGGGTGCCAGCGCTCTCCCCTGCTGCTGCTGCTGGTGAAGATGCAGCAGCAGCAGCAGCAGCAGCAGCAGGTGGAGCTGCAGCAGTGACTGAAGGCGAAGGTGAGGAGCCTTCTGCCCCTGCTGCCGGCACGGCCTCCGGTCCTGCTGCCACCGCTGCCTCTGCTCCCACTGCCCCGGCCCCCACTGCTGACGCTGCACCTGCCGCTCCTGTCTCAGCCGCAGCTGATGCTTCAGGTGGAGCTTCAGGTGGGGCTTCAGGTGCGCCAGGTGCTTCAGGTGGTGCTGCAGCAGAGGAAGAGGACTTGCCTGAGATTGATCCTACGTTCCTGGAGGCTCTACCAGAGGATCTGAGGGCGGAGGTGCTGGCGTCCTTCCAGGTGGAGCGGGCTGCCAGGCAGGCCCGGCAGAGACGCGCGCAGCAGCAAGCAGCGCAGTCGCAGGGACAGGCGCAGGGGGGGCAAGGTGCTGCGGGGGGTGCAGGAGCAGGGGGGGCAGCGGGAGCAGGACCAGCAGGAGGTGCAGGGGGGACAGGCGGAGCAGGGGGAGCGGGGGGGGCAGGGGGAGCAGGGGGGATGGCAGCAGGGGAGGGGTTGGGAGGGGAGGACGCAGGGGAGTTGGACCCGGAGTTCTTGGCGGCGCTGCCGCCGGACATCCAGGCGGAGGTGCTGGCGCAGCAGCGGGCGCAGCGCATGATGGCCGCTGCGGCTGCTGCGGGCACGGATGGGCACCCCGTGGACATGGACAGCGCGTCTATCATCGCCACCTTCCCTGCCGAGCTCAGAGCAGAGGTACTGTCCGTGTGCCTTTGTGTCCGTCTGTCTGTCTGTCAGTCTGTGTGTGCACTTGAGAATTCTTCTTGAGGTGCCTCGTATGGGCACGGATGGGCATCCCGTGGACATTGACAGCCCGTCTATCATCGCCACCTCCCCTGCGGAGCTCAGAGCAGAGGTGAGCTGCGTCTGGTGTTTGGAAGTGATATCCAGGGTGCTCTGCTAGTGGACATGGACAGGTACGCCACTACGCCCCGTGCCACTATGCCCCGTGCCACTACTCCCCGTGCCATTACTGCCCGTGCCACTTGTTAGATAATAGATCGATAATAACACGCTAGACTAGTATGCTAGTTAGGTGTACACCAACTTGTGGTGTACACATCAAAGTGCAAGGGGTGTTAATCCAACCCAGATGTGGTTGGAGCCCCCAAGCACCAAGACCACAGTGTTGGGACCATGCAAGTGGCTCCTATGGTGGCTGGGTACGCCTCCTACCCAACTGCTCATGGCACTGTTCATCCTTCCCTTGCTAGCTTCCCTTCCTTCCCGTGCCACTACCCCCCGTGCCACTGCCCCGTGTGCCACTACCCCGTGCCACTGCTCCCCCTGCCTCTAGCCCTGTGCCACTACCCCCCTTGCCACTACCCTCCGTGCCACTACCACCCGTGCCACTACCACCCGTGCCACTACCCCCCGTGCCACTACCGCCCGTGCCACTACCCCCCGTGCCACTATCGCCGGTGCCACTGCTGTCCGTGCCACTATTGCCCGTGCCACTACAGCCCGTTTGAGGGTGTGCACGTTTGAGGGTTCCTTTCTTCACGGGTGTTCTTTGTGTGGGTCTTATACTTCTGTCTCGGCTGTGTTTTGTGTCTCTCTGCTCTCCTTGCACTCCTCACTTGAAAAATGCTCCACTAGTGGCTAACTTCTCTCCCCTTCGCTTTGCTTCTCGTCTCCTATTGAGAATTCTCAATAACCAATGCTCCTTTGTTATTGTCGACCCCCCCTCTCCCTGGGCCTTCCCCGCAGGTCCTCCTGACCTCATCCGAAGCAGTGCTAGCGTCCCTTCCCCCCGCTCTCCTGGCCGAAGCTCAGCTATTGAGAGAGCGGGCAATGCAGCAGTACAGTGCGCGGCACCAGCAGCACCACCACCCCGCGCACCCCCACCACCACCCTGCCATGTTCGGAGGGCCCATCCGCCGCTCCCCCGCTGTCGCGAGCGGCACCACCGCCCACCGCCGCCCCCCGCATCCTTTTGCAGTCGCTGGGGGGGAGGGAGGGGTGGGAGAGGGGTTTAGAGGGTTTAATGGGGTGGGGGCGGGGAGGAGGGAGAGGGAGGGGGCGGGGGCAGCGGCAGGGGCGGGGGGAGGGAGACGGAGTGGGGAGGGGGGGGAGGAGGAGAAGGCGCCTGTGGTGGATGAGAGGGCGCTCAAGGCGCTCATTCGGCTGCTACGCATCTCACAGGTGAGCTTCCCACAGGTGAGCCGCTCATTCACCTACTTTCTCTCTCCTCACCCCGTTCCCCCCCTAATCCCTCCCCACCAGCCCCTGCAGAAGGCCCTGCTGCCTCGCCTGTTGGCCAACCTGGCCTTGCACCCCACCACTCGCGCAGCCCTCGTGCGCATCCTGCTGGACCTGCTGCGACCAGACGCCCTTTTCTTGCTCATCTCCCCATCCCACCTCCCCTTTGATCCCCCCACCAACCCCTGCACAAGTCCGTCCTGCCTCGCCTCCTGGCTAGCTTCCTGTTTCTCCCCTAACCCATCCCCTTCTCTCACCCAACCCTCCCCCCTCCCCTCTCCCATCACCAGCCCCTGCAGAAGGCGCTGCTGCCTCGCCTGCTGGCCAACCTCGCCTCGCACCCCGCCACACGCGCAGCCCTCGTGCGCATCCTTCTGGACCTGCTGCGACCCGACGCCGATCCAACGGACCAGCACCCAACGGGACAGCATCCAACGGACCAGATTGCTGCGGTCGCAGGGGGCGCTGCCTCTGACGCTCAGCCTGCAGCAGACGGCGCCCCGCCTCACCAGCTGTACTGCTGCCAATCCAGCGTGGTCTACGCGCGGCCCCAGCGGCCTAACAGTGAGTCCCCTTGCATGTGGCACTACCCACCAGGAAGAGGGCCCGCCCCAGGGTACCTAGTATTTTTGTATTCTTGAGGCGCCACAGGAAAAGCCCCGCCCCACCAGCTGTACTGCTGCCAGTCCAGCGTGGTCTACGCGCGGCCCCAGCCACCCAACAGTTTGTGGTTGTGCATGTGGGCACTACGCTCTATGTGATTCTATTCTTGAGGCGCCTCAGAAACATGCCCCCGCCGCCCCACCAGCTGTACTGCTGCCAGTCCAATGCATCCCCCACTCGTGCTACCCACTTCCACCCCCTCCATGCATCCCCCTCCTTGTGTCTTGGAGCTTCTCGCCTATCTCTCCCGTCCACTCCCTCGCTGCCACGTGCCTGCTGCTGCTCTGAGGCAACTTCAAACGGTCTCCACTGTTTGCTCCCCCCCCCCGACGCCCCGTCCCCCATGCCCCAGGCATCCCTCCCCTTGTGTCCCGCCGCGTGCTCGAGCTTCTAGTCTACCTCTCCCGCCATTCCCTCGCTGCCACACGCCTGCTGCTGCTCTTCCCTGAGGCGCTCACTCCCACGGCGCAGCAGCAGAGGGAGAGGGAGGAGAGGGAGAAAGAGCGGGAGAAGGAGCGGGAGCAGCGGAAGGGCAAAGCTAAGATCACTGAAGTACCAGAAGAGGCAGCAGGAGGGGCGGCAGCAGCAGGGGATATGGTAGAGGTGGGAGTTGTGAGCAGAGGAGCGAAGGATGAGAGAAGAGAGGGAAGGGAAGGGGAGGAGGAGGAGGGGGAGGTGGAGGAAGGGGAGGTGCCGTTTGTGCTGATGCTGCACTTGTTGAGGCAGCCTCTCTACCTGCGCAGCTCGCCCCACTTGGAGCAGGTCAGTCGGTCACTCCTGCGCCAGTTCTTTTCTTGGGGATATGGGGGTGGTAATCGTTGTATTCTCCCGTTTTCCTCCTCCTCACCCTCTTTCCCCTTGTCCTTTCCGAATTTCCTCCCCATAGCCGTGCTTGACTATAATCAACGCTTTCCCACTCAAAAGGTGCCTTTGGACTCTGAGGAATGATTTCTTCAAGAGTTGAAGTCCATACATTACAACCACCGCACTAGCCTTGTTGCTTGGCCTGTGGAGTGCCACATCTTTTTTCCCGCTCCTTTCCTCCCTCTGTGTGCCGGGCAGCTGCTAGGTCTCATGGAGGTTGTAGCGCGGGCGGCGGCAGAGGAGGCTCTCGCTGCCACTGCTAGGCGCCTCTTAAACCTCACATTTCCGTCTCCCTCCCTCTGTGTGCCTTGCAGCTGCTGGGACTCATGGAGGTGGTAGCGCGGGCAGCAGCAGAGGAGGCTCTTTCTGCCGCTGCCACTGCCGCTGACACGGCTAGGGCTACCGCTGCCACTGCTGCTGCTGCTGCTAGACTTGAGGGGCAACTAGCAGGAGAAACGCCGGCAGCAAGTGCGCCAGAGGCAGCTGCACCTGCTGCTGCTACAGCAACTACAGCAGCAGCAGCAGGGTCAGGATTGACAGGAGGAGCTGACGCAGGTGCTGCCACACCTGCTACCGAGGCAACAGCTGCGGCTGCAGGCCCTGCCGAGGCAGCGGCGGAGGCTCGGATGGAGAGCGATTCAGGTCTGGGGGCTGCCGAGGCTGAACCTGCAAGCAGAGACGTGGAGATGGGAGAGGGGGAGAGAGAAGAGGGAGGGGAGGGAGGAAGGGAAGGGGAGGGGCAGACAGGACAGGAGGGGCAGGAGGAGGAGAGACAGGAGGTAGGAGATGCCCAGGAAGGTGCCCCAGCAGCTGTTGAACAGACTGCAGCAGCAGAAACAGCTGATGCTGCCCCTGCTCCTGCTGCTCCTGCTTTTCCTCCTGCTGCTGCGCCTGGTGGAACAGAAATCGCCACTGCTCCATCGAGTGACTTCATTCCCCCCCCGGCTTCCGCTCTCGCCCCCCCTCCCACGGCCGCCACTCAACCCCCTCCTCCCCCAGTGCCCTTCCCAGTGGCTGTCTTCCTCCAAATCCCCTCTCCTGACCTCCGCATTCTCTCCCAGCTCCTCGCCCACGAGGGCCTCTCCGACGCCTCCTACTCGCAAACTGTCTCCGTGCTGCGCCTCGTCACCTCTGTGGTCCCTAGGCACCGCGAACTGTTCATTGCTGACCTGGCAGAGGCGGCGCGTCAGCTCAGCACGCCGGCCACGCGGGAGCTGCTGGAAGTGGTGGAGGGGGCGGATGGGGGGGAGGGTGAAGGAGAGGAGGGAGAGGTGGCAGCAGCAGCAGCAGCAGCAGCAGCAGCTGAGAGTGGGAGAGAGACTATGGAGGGGCAGGAAGCAGAAGCAACAACAGCAGCAGCAGCAGTAGCACCAACAACTGAAACACCAGCAGCAGCACCAGCAGCACTAGCGGTTGTGGCTGGCAAGCCATGGGGCTTAACCAGAGCAGGAGCCGCCACTCTCCGCGTTCTCAAAACCCTCACCTCGCTCCTCTCACAGCCAGCCTCCTCCCTCCCTCCCGCCTGGGACCGTGAATCTTCCTCAGCACCAGCAACAGAGGCGGAGTGCCAGGCCGTGGTTGCCCACCTTGTCACATCGCTACACCCCCTCTGGCAGGTGCTATCTGAATGCTGTGCCAAGCTGGAGGCTCGGTACAAGAACCACCCTGCCCTGTCCGCCTCCTCTGCCTCGGCCGGGCCTGCAGGTTCGGCGGTGGATGGCGCAGGAGGTGTGGGGGGAGGGGCAGCAGGAGGGGCGGTGCCGCCGCTGCCGTCAGCAGCGCAGCAGCTGCTGCCATTTGTGGAGTCGTTCTTTGTGCTGTGTGACAAGACCAGTGGCAAGGGGAAGGGGGTGGCTGCTGGGGGGGCTCCTGCTGCTGATGCATCTCCGGCTGCTGCTGATGCTGCTGCTGGGCCCGCTGCTGCTGCTGCTCCTGGCACCAGTGCAGTGTCAGCAGCAGCACTAGCAACACCAGTACCAGCAGCACTAGCAACACCAGTACCAGCAGCAGAGGTTGTTGCCCAACCAAGCTCAAGCCAAGCCGTCACTCCATCCGTGTCAGTCGAACCCCTCCCCACTGCTGCCACCACCACCACAGCCATCACAACACCAGCACTAGCAGCAGGCATCCCCTCCTCCTCCTCCACCCCCTCCCCCTCCTCCCCTTCCTCCGCTCTCCTGCGCTTCACAGAGCGGCACCGCCGCCTGCTCAACGCTTTTGTGCGCGGCAACCCTGGCCTGTTAGAGCGCTCCTTCGCCCTGCTGCTCAAGTCGCCCTGGCTGCTGGACTTTGACAACAAGCGCGCCTACTTCCGGTCCAGGATGCGGCACCTGCATGAGCAGCCGCACTACGGCACGCTCAGGATCACAGTCAGACGGCCGTACATCCTGGAAGACTCGTACAACCAGGTGAGAATTCTTTGCCTTGTGTGCTCCCCTTGGGTCCGCCTCAAGCCCCCATGGCTGCTTGGCTTTGGCAACAAGACTCGTACACTGGGCGAGGCGGTTTGACTTTGTGTGCTCTTTTCTTTAGCCGGGTTCTGAAGTCGTTAAGAGTGCGAGAATAAGAATGCTTCTTACCACTCTCAACTCCTCATTTTCTTGTTCAAACTCCTCCGCTATTTTCCTTCCATCTTCCCCTTTCCCAAACCCCCCTCCTCTTTGCGCCTTTTCCAGCTGCACATGGTGTTCCACAGGGGCGCCCTGTTCTTCCCCACTCTCACTCTCACTCCCACGTGCCCCTCTTTGCGCCTTTTCCTCCTTACCCTCAACCTCTCTACTTAAGAGGACCTGAGTTGCGATTGAACGTGCACTTCCAGGGAGAAGGGCATAGCCACAGGCGGGTTAACTCGCGAGTGGTACCAGCAGCTATCGTGGGTGGTGTTTGACAAGGGCGCGCTGCTCTTCAGCGCCTTGGTCAACAACACGTCCGTCCTTTCTCAACCTCCCCTCCCCCCCCCCCCCCCCCCCCCCGTTTTTCTGCTTCCTACGTCCTTTTCAGCTGCGCATGCGCACAGCAGAGGAGCTGCGAGGCCGGCTGAATGTGCACTTCCAAGGCGAGGAGGGCATCGATGCGGGCGGTCTCACGAGGGAGTGGTACCAGCAGCTGTCGCGCGTGGTGTTTGACAAGGGCGCGCTGCTCTTCACCACTGTGGGCAACGACACTTCCTTCCAGCCCAACCCCAACTCCGTGCTGCAGCCGGGGCACCTCTCCTACTTCAAGTTTGTTGGCCGAGTGGTGAGTGTTATTTGACGTGCATTTCACCCTTTCCTTCTACAAGCACATCCTGAGCGTGAGGGTCATCTTTTTGCTCCTCAAACCCCCTTCCCCCCTCGCCCCACCCACCCACCCAACACCAATACCCACCCAATCCGTGTCTCGAGGTGTGTCAAGGCATTGTGCAATAGGCAGCTGCTAGACTTGCAGCTCGCCCGCTCCTTCTACAGGCACATCCTGGGCGTCAAAGGCACCTCCTCACGACCCTCCACCTGTTCTCTTTCCCCACTGGTCACCCCCCCCGCTCCCCCCGCCCCCCCCCCACCAGGTGGCCAAGGCGCTGTAAGATGGTCAGCTCCTAGATGTGCACTTCACGCGCTCCTTCTACAAGCACGTCCTGGGCGTGAAGGTCACTTCCTCATGACTCTCCACCTGTCTTTTCCCCCTCCCCTCTTCCCCCCCCCCCACCAGGTGGCCAAGGCCCTGTACGATGGTCAACTGCTAGACGTGCATTTCACGCGCTCCTTCTACAAGCACATCTTGGGCGTGAAGGTCACTTTCCACGACATAGAGGCCATCGACCCCGACTACTACAAGAACCTGCAGTGGATGCTCGAGGTGAGTGCGCTTAGGTCTCCTTGCTCTTCCAGTTGTGGGGTTGGTATTGTGCAGTTAGTCGCAAGCTTGCTCCGTCCGTGCCCTTCACTGCATTGGAGTCACTCTCCACAGCATAGAGGCCGTTGACCCCGACTACTACAAGAACCTGCAGTGGATGCTCGAGACGAGGTGGGGAAAGGGTGTCGTTTAGGGCATTTTCTATCATGTGTCCGCTAGTGCATTGGAGTCACTTACAATGACATAGAGGCTATGGACCCTGACTACTACAAGAACCGGTGAGGTGGGGGGATGGGGTGGGAGGATGAACCGTGTACATTGTGCTGCATGCATGCCGCTGGGGTGTATGGTGACGGTTGCATGCTGTTGAGTTCCCAGTGAATGCGCCAGTGGTACAGCTGTTGTTCGAGGGGGGAGTGGCTGTTGAGTCGACTCAAAAGTCGAATGCGCTAGTGGCCCTGTTGTTGGAGGGGTAAGTGGGAGTCACCGGCACTGGAGATGGTGGGGCGAATTGAATTTAATGTCAGATATATGGTCATCCAGGTGATTTTTTCCGCGGTTTGAAAAAAACACGGAAAATATATTACCTGGATGATGACTACATGTTTGACATTAGGTTCTGTTTGCAAGCCAGCAACTGTATACTACGCCCCACCATCTCAAGTGCCGGTAACTCCCAGTTTTGCTAAAGCGACATCTGTGGCCTGGATCTCACATTCCGCATGCATGCCAATGTTTCTCACAAGCTCTCTTAGCTGTAGCCAACTGTTGGTATGCTACGGTCGTAAAGAAACTATGGTCTGGTACCTGTGGGTGAATAGTCCTATTAATAGCAAGGAAATTTGGGCGAGGATGATGAAATCTAGGTGGGCAGTACGATGAGTGAGAGGGTCGGCGATGCTGGATGCGTCTTTTTTGTGAAAGTTGCTCTCCATAGAATCTAGCCAGCGGAACTGTCCAGGGTTGAGTAGTGGTTGCGCGCAAATGCATTGTAGGCTTCGATGACCTATTCGTGTTGTCATGTCTGCTCTCATCAGGTGACATCGCCATATTTTGAAAGCGAGCATGATCACAATCTTCTTCATCTCGTATATCAGATCATTTCTCTCAGGCAGGTGTAACATTCGTGACTCTAACGCAATTGGTTGTAAACCCATGCCGTGCTCTAACCTCTCCTTTCCTGCCCCTCTTTCCCCTTCCCCATCTCCCCCTCTCTCCCCCTCTCTCCCCCTCTCTCCCCCTCTCTCCCCCTCTCTCCCCCTCTCTCCCCCTCTGCCAGAACGACATCTCAGACATTCTGGACCTCACGTTCAGCATGGACGCGGATGAGGAGAAGCGCATTCTGTACGAGCGCACTGAGGTGAGCACGGCGCTTGGGCTCTTGACTCGAGCACTCTTGCCTCGAGCAATCTTGTCTCGAGCACTCTTGACTCAAGCACGGTGACAAGGAGAAGCTGATTAGTCCTGCATCATGCTTGGTATTAATGCATTATAGCCGCCATCCGCTCGAGCTCATGTCTCTCCCCTGCCGCTCCGTCCCCCCTGCCCCAACAGGTGACAGAACATGAGCTCATCCCCGGTGGCCGCAACAGAAGAGCAACAGAGAAGAACAAGCACGAGCACGTGGACGCAGTCTGGCAGATTACCGCATGACGGCCCCCCTCACGACCTGCTCTTCTTGCCTCACCCATTTCTCTCTCCCTCAGGTGACAGACCATGAGCTCATCCCCGGTGGCCGCAACAAAAGAGCAAGGGAGGAGAGCAAGCATGAGCACATGGATGCAGTGGCTGACAGACTACCGCATGACTGCTGCCGCACCCTCCCTGTGTGTCTTCCCTGCTTTCTGCCAACAGGCCACGGACCATGAGCTCATACCGGGCGGTCGTAACATCCCGGTAACGGAGGAGAACAAGCACGAGTACGTGGACGCAGTGGCGGACTACTGGCCGCCATCCCTTTCCTCTATGTCTTCCTTTCACTGCCCCTGCCCCCAACAGGTGACAGACCATGAGCTCATCCCAGGAGGCCGCAACATCCGGGTGACGGAGGAGAACAAGCACGAGTATGTGGACGCCGTGGCCGATTACCGCATGACAGCCGCCATCCGGCCGCAGATAGCCGCCTTCATGGAGGGGTTCAACGAGCTCATTCCCAAGGACCTGGTCGCCATGTTCAACGACAAGGAGCTGGAGCTGCTGATATCCGGCCTGCCTGAGATCGACAGTGAGTTATGGGGCTGTCAGTGAGTGCTTGCATGTGTGACTGTGTGTCCGTACTCGAGGGCTTCAACGAGCTCGTCCCCAAGGACCTGGTCGCCATGTTCAACGACAAGGAGCTGGAGCTGCTCATCTGGGGACTGCCTGAAATAGACAGTGAGTGGTGGTGCTGAGTTGGGGGCTGCATCCACTCAGGTGTGATGGGCTTCACGGAGCTCATTCCCAATGGCCTGGTCGCCTTGTTTAATGACAAGGAGCTAGACCTCCTCGTTTCAGGGCTGCCTGAGATTGACAGCGAGTGCTGGAGTCAGGAGCAGGACCACCTCCACGACTTGAGACTGTTGATTTGCTCAAAAGCTGTTGATTCCAGTCGACAACCGGCGCAGCAACACTGACTATGCAGGGTACTCAGCAACCTCGCCTCCTTGCCTGATCCCCCTGCCTCTCCCCTCATCCTTTCATCCCCATCTGCCTCCCTCCCCAGTCGACGACCTGCGCAGCAACACGGACTACACGGGGTACACGGCGGGGTCCCCCCAGGTGCAGTGGTTCTGGGACGTGGTGGCGCACCTCTCCAAGGAGGACAGAGCAAGGCTGCTGCAGTTTGTAACGGGCACATCTAAGGTGAGCGCACTGGCACATCTAAGGTGAGCGCACCGGCACATCTAAGGTGAGAGCACCGGCACATCTAAGGTGAGAGCACATGCACGTACCCGCCCTCACAGGCACATCCAAGGTGAGGCACATTCGCACCCATCCAGCTTTTGATGCCCATGCATGCATGCACCACCCACTCTGCCCCTGCCCATGCTTGGCTTGTGTGCCTGGCTTTTGTGCTGCGTCTTTCGTCTCACGCCTGCGCCCTCTCCACCTTCCTGGCAGGTTCCTTTGGAGGGCTTTAAGGCGCTGCAGGGCCTGTCCGGGCAGCAGCGGTTCCAGATCCACAAGGCGTATGGCGACAACAAGAGGCTGCCCTCTGCCCACACATGGTGCGTTGTGCTACCTCTCCCACTCCTCACTTCCTCGCAATTGCTCTGTTTCTCCCACTCTCCCACTCTCCCAAAGCATTTCTTCTCCAAACCAATCTCCCTCCGGTTTCTCCCTCCCCCTCCTCTCTCTCGAGAATTTCCCACTTATACGGTAGTTGCTCCGTTCCCGTTGTTTGCTCCACGCGCCTCTCGCATCCATCCCTCCAGCACTCCCTCAAGCAAGTTATGCATTGCTTTGGCCTGCTCCCCCCGTGTTCCTCCGTGTCATCGCCCATTCAGCTTCAACCAATTGGATTTACCTGAGTACGGGTCCAAGGAACAGCTGCGGGATCGGCTTCTCTTGGCCATTCACGAAGCCAGTGAGGGCTTCGGCTTCGGTTGATGTAGCCCCCGGTGGATGGATTTGTTAAAGTCGTCTCACCACTGTACGCCATTGTGCGCGTATGGATGTACATTGCAATGATAGCATTGGTGACACTGCTTGCATGGTAGTGCTGAGTACTTTCATGATAAATTGTTTTGTGATTCTTGCAGCTGATTGTAAGTATTTTTCCGTAGTTTTGTGAGATCATGCAGATTGAACGGTGATAGTGGTGGGTTACTCTTATCGAGCTGCGTTGGCCATTTGTGACACTGGTGGAGTTGCACCAGACACCAGCCAATTGCGACGGTCACGGACAATCTGGCATTTTCACACCTATGCAATAAGATCCGCCATGTCATCATTCCAGGTGTCGTTCTGTCACTCAATCCACATCAGTTGGATCTAAGCCACGCGGAAGCTCCTCGACACAGATAGGCACAGAAGTGTGGATATGGAGACTCGTGGTAGCGCGTGACAATGTGGATGACCTGTCATACGACCTTCCTTTCTGGGCCTTTCGAAGCGATTCGCATTGCAGACGTGGCATTGGTCAGAACTCTTTCGCACTCTTCAGCATGTCCTTGCGTTGCGACTGCTGCGAAGCAAATTCGCCGTTCGCTTGCCATGGCTGCCTCCCTCCCAGCCACTCGCTTCTCCCAGTTCCCTTCCAGCCGTTGAGCTGAGAGGGGAGGGGGGAGGAGAGGAGCAACTGTGAACAGTGCGCACATTCTTTCATCGGACCAGCACTGCACTGCACACATTCAGGCCAGCTTCTTCCGCCATAAATAGCCAGAAGCCTCATTTCCCGGGTAATCTGAACGGCGTTTCTTCGCATCTACAGAGCAGCAGCTAGTCTCCTGCTTCCTGCGACCTCCTTTCATCCATTTCTCACTCTTTCGCTGAGAATGGCTGCTTCCGTCGCTACCTCCTCCAAGGTGGTCGTCGCGCCCCGCGCGGCCCTGTCCCAGGGCAGCAGCGCCGGCTCCAGCTCTGTCAGGGCGTCCGCCGGCATCAGGTCCTTCAACGGCCTGGTCGCTGGTAACAAGGACACCCAGAAGTTCGCCAACATTTTCGCCGTCGAGCATGACATCCACTCCGCCGTCGCCTCGCACGTCGCCAAGGCGGGCAAGGGCACCCGCGGTGTGGTAACCATGGCGAAGAAGAGCGTGGGTTCGCTGACGGAGGCGGACCTGAAGGGCAAGCGCGTGTTCGTGCGCGCAGACCTGAACGTGCCCCTGGACGCGGACTTCAACATCACCGACGACACTCGCATCCGCGCCGCCGTGCCCACCATCAAGTACCTCATGGAGAAGGGCGCCAAGGTCCTCCTCACCTCCCACCTGGTAAGCCACATCACCACCTAGAATTGATGCAATCTTTGGACTGCTAGGTTCATTTTCATCCACTCTGACTTAACATTGCCGAAATCGCCAGTTTTTTTACGTAACATTGTCTACCCATCTAGAGTGACAACTTCTATTTGCTTCCAAATTTCCTCGTTTATCCTCCCTTCATCTCAACCTTTTTGCACCTCCGTCAATTTCCCTTTTTTATAATTCCAGGGTCGCCCTAAGGGTGTGACTGAGAAGTTCCGCCTGACCCCTCTGGTGAACCGCCTGTCGGAGCTCCTCGGCATCAAGGTCGCCAAGACCAACGACTGCATCGGCGAGGAGGTCGAGAAGGCCGTCGCCGCCCTCCCCAACGGCGGCGTGGTCCTCCTGGAGAACGTGCGCTTCTACCCTGAGGAGGAGAAGAACGTCAAGGAGTTCGCCGAGAAGCTCGCCGCCAACGCCGACCTGTACGTCAACGACGCGTTCGGCACGGCGCACAGGGCGCACGCGTCCACCGCCGGAGTGACGGAGTTCCTGAAGCCGTCCGTCGCGGGCTTCCTTCTCCAGAAGGAGCTCGACTACCTCGATGGCGCCGTCACCAGCCCCACCCGCCCCTTCGCCGCCATCGTCGGCGGCTCCAAGGTGTCGTCCAAGATCGGCGTGATTGAGTCGCTCCTGGCCAAGTGTGACATTCTTCTGCTGGGCGGCGGCATGATCTTCACCTTCTACCGCGCGCTCGGGTACAAGACCGGGTCGTCGCTGGTGGAGGAGGACAAGATCGAGCTGGCCACCAGCCTGATCAAGGCCGCCGAGGCCAAGGGCGTCAAGCTGCTGCTGCCCACCGACGTCGTCATCGCCGACAAGTTCGCCCCCGACGCCAACTCCAAGGTTCGTAGCTCGAGGAAATCTCACCAATACTTCTCTCTCTCGCTCTCGCTCTCTCTCTCGCTCTCTCTCTCTCTCGCTGTTTGGCCACCACCGCCCCACACGTCTTTCGGCGCTCTCAATTTCTTTCCCGAAACAATAATTATGGAGAAGCTCAATCCCAATCCCAATGTAATCTTCACATTGTCATTCGTGAAAGAGCTCTGCCTGATGTTATTGCTCCACTCGCCTCCTCGTGCCTCCCTGCAGATTGTGTCGGCCAAGGACATCCCCGACGGCTGGATGGGTCTGGACATCGGCCCCGACTCCGTGAAGACGTTCAACGAGGCGCTCGACACCTCCAAGACCGTCATCTGGAACGGCCCCATGGGCGTCTTCGAGTTCGACAAGTTCGCCGTCGGTACCGAGGCTGTTGCCAAGAAGCTCGCGGACCTGAGCGGCAAGGGCGTGATCACCATCATTGGTGGCGGTGACTCCGTGGCGGCGGTTGAGAAGGTGGGAGTGGCGGAGCAGATGAGCCATATCTCCACTGGCGGCGGTGCCTCACTGGAGCTTCTCGAGGGCAAGGTGTTGCCAGGTGTTGCCGCTCTTAACGAGGCTTAGATGCTCTTAAATATGTTTTTTTGCCTTCTCCCACAGTTTTGTACAATTTTCGCATTCAAATGAAAATGAAATTCTCTTAGAGCATGTTGTGTTTCATACTGTACGCGACCGTTCTGGACGTTCACAAAACGCCACGAAACCTCACGAGAGCACTGTATGTATGCTTGTGACACACTCGTACTGTTTTTCTGAGGGGGCCGCTATTAGAGGTGAATGGCTGCTGACATTGCACAAATTATTTGGCATTTAGGGTCAGCAGATGTACACCATCAGATGTGACATAATGGGCCTGAACTTATCTGGAAATACCATGGCATAAACTGGTATTGATTTAGTGGAAAGATGTGACATAATGGGACCTAATGGCAGCAAAGCTGTCATTGATTGTTCAGCCATGTGGGCTCTCATGTGAGTGCTGGAGGCTTTTGCTCTCTGCACTAGTTTCCCAGAGGCGACACCCAGCAACATATCTTGCAAATTGATCAGAAGAAGCGATGCCATGAGGTTTGGAGAAGCCCCCTCCTTTGCTTGGGGCTGCTGTTGGTCACATCAGTGAGGTGAGGTGCCGAGCCAAGTTTCCTGCTTTACGAAGCAGATGACCAAGGTGATGAGTGATGACCACGAGAGCTGACAGCGACAGTGGCGACAGTCCCTGGGTTTGGTTGACAGAGCAGAGGATGCATGCGGAAGTCCAGGAAAGTCGAAAACGACATAAACGAAATCTCAGGAAAGTTGACAGCGACATCGTTGAAATTCCACGAAACTCGATAATGACAGCAGTGCACTCCTGCTGGTGGCGCTCGTTATTTCGCTTCCGAACTGGTTACCATTGAAATCATTCGTTCGCCAGCGAGCAGGGTGTGGCTGGTACATCTCATCCTGTAGAAACGTCCCTGTCGTATTTGCTCCAGGGATGCTGCTCTATAGAGTATTTTGCTTGTTGAACAAGCGAAGATGGATGCTGCACCCCAAAACAACCATGGCGCTCTCAGTTCTGCTGTCGTAACCTAGGCCAGCCGAAGACCGACAGCAACATAGACACCAAGGCCATTTTGACGACGTCTTTATTATTGTGAGGAACACAAGCTCTCTTTCTCCCCTCCGCGAGATTCACCGCGCTTTTTAGGTCAGACAGGTGCATCCCGCTTTTAGGTCGACGAGGCGACCAGCCATGGGGATCTTCAAGTCGTTATTCTCCTTCTGTCTCGGAACCACCTTCGGCATATACGTCGCGCAGACGTACAACTTACCTCCGCTGAGGCTAGTGGTGGACCAAGCGATTTCAGTGGGGAAGCAACTTGAAGACGCCTATAGAAAGCGAGAGCAGGGCCGTGATCCAGATGGAAGTAAAGACAAGGAGTAAAGAAAGCGAGTCCCCGGTTTAGGACTAAGTGGCGATTCCTAACTGCTCATCATCTTTGCTGCTAACCGGCTGCACCTGCCAGGCTGCCTGCCGGCCTCTAGTGTGCCCGGTTTATGCTTGCTGCTTTAAGTCACATATACTATGAAGCGTTGGTCAGAATTTAGGGACGAAGCCTGTCTGTAGCGTGTTCGTGCTTGTATTATTTAACTAGGCTTCCACTATACCATTTCCATTATCCAACATGTTCCTCTCTTTTCCTCTCCTCTCACAGACCTCCATGTTCCCTTAGAGTTGTCTAAACTTTCTTGAGAGGAGTTGGATGATTTTGGTGACCAGTGCAGTTTATTTATCCTCCAAAACTTTCCTTCTACCAACTGTTGGAAATATCTCAAAGAACTTAAGCGTTTCTGAAGTGTAACACTACACTCGAGGAAGACTACAGGGGAGTGTCAAAAGACTAGCTTAGCTAGGAAGCCATAGAATGGCACAAGGTTTAGCTAGTGTTGGGCTGAGAAAAAGCCCTTAGGATCTTTTGCAGAGACTAAGTCCCAGCTGTAGAGACTTGAGACTTGGAGTAGTGCAGCGGAAGTTGAGACAGTTGAACCCTTGTACTAGTATGTGAGAACAAGTGATTGATTAAAGAAACAAGCATACAGCAATATATAGAAGATAAGAAAGCAGTTGTAGAATACAGTTACAGAAACGGTTTATCGAGTCGCACAGCGACTCGATTGCCGCTTCGGTTACCATCCGTGATGTTGTAACGGTCAGTCGCAACCTCCAGTTGCGACCTTTCGAGTCCTTTCGCATTCTTTGTCCGCCCCCTCGTGTAACCTCCGTTGACTCGCGTGCTCCCCTGTAATCTTCCTCGAGTACAGTGTTACACTTCAGAAACGCTTAAGTCCTTGAGATATTTCCAACACTCCCCTTCGTTTCTGGAGTGCTGGAGTGTTCAGATCCGGTGACGTTTGTTTGCCCGGTTAGGAGCATGCAGTAGTCGAATTTTGCTTTCGCCAATTTCTTCGTCAGATAAT